TTCAGCATGATGGTAGATCTTTAATGTTTTTGAGTGAGAGCTGTACAGGCTCGGCGGATTTCTAGTTCGTTTTACTAGTGATCACTGTGATTTCGATTTTATCGCCCACAATTTACAGTTATCCTCCACCTGTTCCGTCTTCTTTACCGCAGCCACCACAGCCACTACCACCCAACCTGCAGCCTTCATCCACACAGAATTACTTCCCTCCTCCACAACCTCCAAATCTCACACGTATGTTCAATCGTACATAATTACTACATAAGAAGAATCGTAAGTAACTGGTAGATATTTTCAGCTTCAATCCCGTCTGGTATCCCTTCTGTTGTACCCTCAATGTTCGCCACAGGTGCTTCTACCACCACAAGCACTGCGTACGCTCCTCCTCCACCAATCAACTTTCCGATGCCCTCTTTAAGTTCCATTGGGATCACACAACTAGCTGCTCCACCAACCACTTCAGCAGAGACATACCAACAGCAGTACAATGGTTAGTACAAAGCAAAAGTTTCTTTTCAAAATATGCCCCTTTTTTCTACAAAAGAAGAACTTTGAGGTCAGCAGGCTTCTACATATACTAGGTCTTAAAAATGTTTAGCAATATTTCATTACTTTTCATTCAATTAGAATTTAACTTTTTCCACTGTCAAATTATTGCTTTTCTTTGCTTCTCATTTCAAAAGAAATGCTTCTTTGTTCTAATTTTTATTATTTAATTTTGAGCAAAACTCATAAAACGTGCTCTTGATTTTGGCTGGTCACAAATTTGTGCCACTCTTACTGGTGTCAGAAGCTACTCAAAACCATTCTCACAACCCAACATTTTATTAAATAACTTGAAGTAAATCAAGTTATTTAGTTTTTGGAAATAACCACCCATTTGGAAAGAGTATAATTCAAAATGATATTCTCATATTCTAATTTTATAACATTTTAGCCACTGGTCCGTTACCTACTCCTCCACAATTCTATCCTGTTTCGCAGCCGCAGCAGTAAGCAGAAAGTTGTGTGTCATTTGTTACCTAAGAAATTATAATTGGTATTGTATACATTGGAGGAGGTCTTCATGTGCAGTAATCGTTTTCTGTGATTGTGGATATAATTCTAGGAAACACGATTTCGAATCACGTTGTCTAGTATTTGGGTGTTAT